TAGCAGTTCAATAGCTGTTTGATAGCTGTTTTTAGCTGTTTTTAGTTGTTTAAAAAAAATTTGATAGCGGTTCAATAGCAGTTATACAGATCGCAGTTATACAGATAACTGTTTTAGTTGTTTGATAGCTGTTCAAGAGCTGTTTGATAGCTGTTTTTAGCTGTTTCATAGCGGTACAATAGCTGTCTTTTTTCTCGCGAGGATTATTTTCGCGTAACATAATACGCCGCAGATAAATCGCGCGCATCACCGCTTCTCATTTTGTTCGATAGCGGTTCAGAGTATCCACTCGCGATTGCAAGATGCAACGGTAAGTAGAGGATTATTTTTCATGATAGCTAGTTTTTGATAATATATCACAGATAAATCACGTGCAACCCTCTCTCTTCATTTTTAGATGCCCTATAAATTGAGCTCTGCCTCAAGTCAGAGCACAGTCTGTACGTGGTCTGTACAAACGTTGCAAACATGGCACGTAGATTTATTAGTATCTACTTTCCAGTAGAGATGGTACGGATAGTGTAACGTAGTGTAGTAAACAGTGTAACATAGTGGAGTGAACAGTGTAATACAGAGTTTTTTTATTTGTTTTTTTCTGTTTAGTGGAATGGGCCGGAGGATGTCGAGGGAATCGAGGTACGCTTGGAGGGGCGCGGGCAGTGGGTGCGGATCTGCATTCCGCGAAATTATGTGAGTATTTTTTTCTTTGTGCGTGCATATGTTTTAAGAAAAATATATATTTTTTAATGTTGATCTTACAGCCGCGCATGAACTACATAATCGGTGGGTACATAAACATCGATTATCAGCGGTGGGTGAGACGGGAAAAGCAGGACAACAGAGAACTGCTGGACCTATTATGGGGGTGCAACAAATTCGACATATTTTATTTACGACGACTCTTCGAGGAAGAGGAGGAAAAGTATTGGTAAGATAATCGCTTTTTTAATAAAAATTGAATCCTTATCTTAATCTTGTTATTTGTATGTTTCAGGTAATGCGAGAAAAAGATCACCCGCAATGTCTTTGTTTAATACACCAGTTAATCTACAAATAAAACAATATATAATATTAATGTTAAAATAATGATATACATCAATTTAATAACTAAGTACTACCGATAAAAACATTTTTTAAGGTTATATAATGTTCAACAAAATAGAAATATGTAACACGTTTGTAAATATGCTGCATTAGGGTAACATATTAAATAAAAAGAGAAATTATAGTTGCAGTAAATAGAAGTATGATTTTTTGTTTGATTTTCCTATATATTCGTTAGATTATGTAAAAGTTTAATGACAAAAAAGTATGTTTTATGGAAATCTAAAACTCGCACTGCCTTCGTTTATGAAAACAAAAAATGCTGTTTTTCAAGAAGAGAGATCGCGGGCGGGAAAAGAAAAACGTGAGTGAGGGAGCGAAAACGCAAACGGGGGCCGGGAGCGAGAGGGACCGCGCGCGAGAAAAAGAGACCGCGCGAACGAGAAGACTCGCGCAAACGGGGGGGACGGGGGCGCGAGACACCGCGCGAACGAGAAGACGAATGGGGGGACGGGAAAGAAACATCTACGAGAGGGAGATAACGCGAGCGTGCCGTGTGACGTCACGCGGACTCCGCGGCGCGGCGAAACGCGAACGCGGGTCCCCTCGCCCCGCGGCGCCCGAAAACGCGAACGTTCCGCGGCGCGGCAAAAACGCGGATCCCCCCTCGCCCCGCGGCGCGGCGGAAACGCGGTCGCCCCGCGGTGCCGGAAAACGCGGACCCCCTCACCCCGCGGCGCCGGAAAACGCGGACCCCCTTCCCCGCGGTGCCCGAAACACGCGGTTCCCCCTCCCCCTCCCCCGCGGCGCCCGAAAAACGCGGTTCCCCTCTCCCCCTCCCCCGCGGCGCCCGAAACACGCGGTTCCCTCTCCCCCTTCCCCGCGGCGCCTGAAACGCGCGGTTCCCCCTTCCCCCGCCTCCCCTCCGCGGTTTCCCCTCGCCCGCAATTTCCCCCCGCCCCTCACCCCCCCTCATTGCCCCATAGTTAGAACCGGCCTAGCTTACCTACTACCGTACAGAGTAAAAATCTGTTAAATAGTGGTGGCGTATCGATCTCTGTTCGAAGGAGTATTGAGTTCGAGGTTATACCGGCTCTGAGTGATGCACCCTTCGGATACGATTGTATTGGCATTAAGACCAGAAATTTGGATAACAATTGTAATATTATGGCGGTGTATAGACACCCTCGTGACCCCATCACATCGCCTGATGTCAAATTGGTGGCTGGACAGGTGCCTGGCTCTGCAAACTCGATTGTGTTGGGTGATTTTAATGCCCACAATTCTGCCTGGAATTGCGAACTCACTTCCCAGGACGGCGAGATTCTTCATGACACAATGCTAGATATGGGTTTTATTTGCGTAAATACTGATACAAAATCCAGAGCCGGCCGACGAAACCAACGGGATTCAAATATTGACCTGGCATTTGGCACAACTGGTATGTTGGATAAGATTGATTATAATCAGCTGGAGGACCCCTGGGACAGTGATCACTACCCGATAGTCTTCACTATGGATGGAGACACCCTCCCGTATAGAAAAGCCTTGAATAGAATCTCGACAAAAAAAACTGATTGGTCCCGATTCCATTTACTCGTCGATGGTGCAATCAAGGCAGACCTCCTACCGCATGTCGGCTCCTTCTCCGGGGACACTAGCACCTATTACGGGAGGTTTATTGATATACTTAGATCATCGGTGAACCTTGCATCTGGCAGAATTAAGGAATTTAAACCTCCCGAGGTCGATATGGCCAAAAAACGTAAAATACAACACAGATGGTAGGATGCGGAGTGCGACGAGGCTATACGTAATAGGAAAGAGGCGTTCAGTTATTTCAAGCGATGTAAGTCCATTAATTCTTGGGTCAGGTACAAGCGAGCATGTGCTGTAGCTAGGAAAACGTTTGCCTTCAAAAAGAAGAAATGTTTCGAAGATTTTTGTGCAGGTATTAACCGTTTTACCAGCATAAGCTCCGTCTGGAATACCATCAGGATTTTAAAAAATACAAGAAACCGAGTTCGATGGAATTGCTGGCATACTAAGAACAGAGAAGAGGAAATTAAGAAATCCATTGATAAACTTGCTCCCCCATATGTGGGGGCGGACCCATCATTTCCAATTAATCTGCGTAAGGACGATTCGCCGCTGAGCTCGCCGTTCCGGAAATCTGAATTGGACAGGGCCATTACAATGATCAAAAAAAATTCTGCTCCGGGTCTTGATGGCATCGAGTATAAAATGATCAAGGAATTTCCCGAGTCGGCGCTTTCCTGTTTGTTGGAATTGTTTAACTGCATATGGCTCTCAGACTTTCTCCCGGAGGAATGGCTTCATTATCAGGTGGTCTTTATAGACAAGCCCGGCAAAGAAAAGGTCCGTCCGATTTCTCTGTCTTCCTGCGTGGGTAAGATATGCGAACGCATGATCAATGAGCGACTAACTTGGTGGGCAGAGAACGAAAACAAGTTTAGTCAATCGCAAAATGGCTTCCGCAGGGGAAAGTCCTGTGCGGATAACCTTGTCAAAGTAGTATCAGATATCCGAGCTTCACTGTGTCTGGGTAAGTACACGCTTGCTGCGTTTCTTGACGTTTCATCTGCCTATGATAACGTCGATTTCCGCATCATGATTGAGACATTAATTGCGTCTGATTGTCCCGCAGGTATCGTCAAATTTATATGTAAATGGCTATATCGGAGACTAGTCCGCTTTATTGTCAATTCACAGGAATTCAAGGAACGACTAGTATATGTGGGACTCCCGCAGGGCGCGGTTCTCAGTCCGGTTTTGTACTCTTTCTACACTAAAAGGATCTGCTCTGACCTACCGGAGGGCGTGAGCTCGTGCGAGTTTGCCGATGACATCGGCCTGTATGTGTGCGGTCCTAATAGACACCGTAATCGGGAGCTTTTGCAACGGGCGGTTAACTTGGTTGCCGAAAGATTGCGATCCATCGGTCTTGACCTAGAGCCGCAGAAGACAGTTCTGGTCGAATACAACAAATATGGTTTACATGATAAAACTCAGAGCATTACTATCCAGGGCTGTGAGGTGTTCAACAGCGAGGAGTCAAGATTCTTGGGCATATGGATCGATAACGGACTTAGATTCGTCCACCAAATCCGAGAGGTGAGGGCAAAGGTCGATAGAGCTAATGCGGTCGTCCAATATTTGTGCAGGATTTCGAAAGGTATGGAGGTTAATACAGCATTGATGCTGTATAAGAGCCTTGTTCGCTCGGTTACGGACTACGGAAGCTTTGTTTATCACCCGAGGGATGCCAGCTCTAAACTAAAGCTCGAAAGGACTCAATATAAGGGCATCAGGACGGCTCTTGGTTATCGTAATAGCTCCCCGAATAACGTTATTATTGCTGAGGCCAAAGTCAGATTACTTGAGGACCGAGCTGAAATGTTGGCTAGGAATTTTATATATAAAGCCATTGCTCATAATATGGAAGGATTATGCGAAAGAATGCAGAAGGCCTACGATAATGAGATTTGAATACGATTTCGCCAACCGACATACACGATATCCTTATTGTCTAGGACATGGAAGAAGTGCGCATCCGCCAAGCCTCTTATAAGCCCCCCGAGAAAACATGAAGTCTTTCATGGTGAGTATGAAGCGCATACGTTTATTCCAACGGTTGATTACTCTTTTGGACTGACCAAAAATCAGACAAGAATTATACCGACGAACGGATGATCAAAGAGATCATTACGAAATACCAATTAAATAGTGATGCGGAGATTATTTTTACGGACGGTTCATATAATCCAGACTGGCCCTCCACTGGGGCAAGTATTGTCATAGAAGGGCAGGACACTGCATATAAGATCAGTCTTTCTAAAGTATGTTCGTCATTCACAGCCGAGATTTTTGCTATTAATGCTTCGCTAAAACTTATGAGAGCCTCACGGGAAACAAGAAACAATCACATAATTATCATGTCAGATTGCAGATCGGCCCTTTCGGCAATTCGCAACAATCTATTAACAGTACATAGGAGCAAATACGCGGTTGAGACTAGACTACTCATTTACTTACTGGAGAGGGAGTTGGACACGAGGATCGTTTTGATATGGATTCCCTCCCATATTGGAATTGCCGGGAATGAATTGGCGGACGGACTAGCCAAGGAGGCGGCACAGAAGCCTCCAGACATGAACATTAAGGTCCCAATCGAGGACCTGATGGCGGTAGCTAGAGAGGAGACCTGGCTCGCCACGCAGGCCTCTATTAAACGGGACTATACGTACAAGGGAATATTTTATTTCCCGAAGTTCTACGACGAGAAGGCTCGTAAGCCGTGGTTTAGCAGGATCAATGCTGAAAGATATTTCGTGACCCTCATCAACAGGATCAGAGCGAATCATTACAATTTGGGCTCATCGCTGTTTAGGAAGAATTACGTTGACTCACAGCGTTGTGAGTGCGGATATGAATGCGAGGACTTGAGACATGTCCTCCTACAGTGCCACAAGTATGACGATCTTAGGATCAAATTAGATGAAGACCTTAGAGCCGCGAGTTATCTTGCGGAAATTGACGTATACAGAATGATTAAAAATAGAAATTGGAATCTGCTTTATTTGATTTTCAAGTTCCTCAAGGGAACAGGCAAGATTATTTAGTATGCTTATAGCATTTGTTCCAGTATTCCTTAGAAACGGTTTACATTGTTTGTGCTAGATTGTTCTCAGACAAAAGGCACCTTTACTCCCTCGCCCGAGGAAAAATTCAAACCCCCCCCCCCGGGGACTTTGCTTCAATTGTCTCCGTGCAGGACATAGCCTGGGGAATTGCCCTAGCTCTTGGACCTGCCGGTCTTGTCAGGCGAAGCACCACTCTCTTCTGCACTTCGAGCAGGTTAGCGTCCCGTCTCTTGCGACCGCTCCGGCGGTCACTCCGGTCGTTGACATCGCGGCACCGGAGAATACAGGCGGAAACTAAGCGATCATTACCTCATAATCGCGCGCCCTTCGTCACGCGTGATGTCTCTCGCCCGTTCGTCACTTGGGCACGTTCGCGGCGACAATATGTGTAATTGAATGTGATAATATTCGTGTAATTGTAGTTCGTTTGGACGAGGTTGAGTCTTACACACTCACCCCGTCAGCGTGCACCGTCGAGTCACCACCCACTCACGGTGCTTTTGGACACCGCCGTCTTGGCGCATCACCACTCGGGTGACGCCGAACGGTAGGACGACTACCGCCGTCTTGGCGTAGCACCATCGTTCTCCCGCTATCACGGAGGGCTTCGGGTGTCGCCGAACGGCTGGACATTAGACCGTCGTGAGACAGGTTAATTTTACCCTACTGATGACCAGTCATTGCGATAATAATCCTGCTCAGTACGAGAGGAACCGCAGGTTCGGACATTTGGTTCACGCACTCGGTCGAGCGGCCGGTGGTGCGAAGCTACCATCCGTGGGATTATGCCTGAACGCCTCTAAGGCCGTATCCTCTCTAGTCAAAGGTGGCAATGATATCTCTAGGAGTCTCGTGAGTCGAAAGGCTCAAAACAATGTGACACACTTACTAGGCGGCCGGTCCTTGCGGGCCGGTCGTCGCACGAGCCCGGTTTGTCGTACGGCGCCTCTGCCCGTCGTCGGGATCTTACCGCTTACGACGGCACGGCGTCTAACGGTCGAACATGAGTTTCGCGAGTTTGATGTCGAGACTGGGAATCGTCTGTAGACGACTTAGCCAGACTAGAGTCAAGCTCAACAGGGTCTTCTTTCCCCGCTAATTTTTCCAAGCCCGTTCCCTTGGCAGTGGTTTTGCTAGATAGTAGATAGGGACAGTGGGAATCTCGTTAATCCATTCATGCGCGTCACTACTTAGATGACGAGGCATTTGGCTATTTTCCTCACGTCTTTCGGCGCGTCTTACCGCTTCGGGGCAGTGCGGTTTCTGATAACAATGGGTCCCGGCTCGAGCGATCCTGCAGGTTAACTAATGGATCGCTCATCTGCGCAACGGGTTACCCAATAACAAGGATATGAGATCCGGCATAACTTTCGTTCTGTCCTATCTTATATTGACTGGGTTTATCTAGCACTCTTGGCAAGTCCTCCCGCAGAAGGAAAACCCATCTGACTGATCTGCCGCGGGATTTCTGCGTACGGAAAAATTATTTAAGCAGAGTCTCCAGCTTGTAGAAGCGGAACTTGGCCAGCTTAGTGTTGCCGTTACCGCGGGGAGCCACGTGGAGGCGTCCGCCCGTGCGCCGGGGAGGTTCGGTCGCACGACTCTGCCGCCGCTCGGTGCCCATCCGAGCGACTCGCATCACTGATGTCAACGGCAAAAGTGCCGGCATAGCTTAAAATCGGGCGTGTAGAATGCTCCCAAATAAATAAATAAATAATTTTGGCTGGATCAGGTCCAAGACCATCGTTTGTATATAAAATTACATCAGTGAGCTAGTGCCAAAAGTTTTTAATCTGCAGCATCGCTGCTGTTGAGGCGCAAAAGCGCGTTGTAATGAACATATGGAAGAGTTCCACTGAGTTCCTGAGCGCTTGAAGTGTTAGCGTTCTCAGCGAGCTTCTGTCTTTAATTTGCAGTACACGTAGACAGGTAACAGTGTCTCTGGGCATTGCTCCTCTTGTCCCGATAACTATCGGGAGGATCGTACAGTCTTTCGCCCCTAATTGAGTTTTAAGTGGGGCTACGAGGGACGCATATTTAGCGAGCTTGTCCCTTTTATCTCTCTCTAGGAGATCACCATCCTCATGGCAGACTGTGATATCAGCCACGAAGACCCTTTCCCGATACTGTATGATCAGGTCTGGTTGGAGATTCCTCAAATGAGGATCCTGTAGTCGAGCTTCTTTCGTTACTACCATGCCACGTTGCCCCAAAACGTGGCGTTCAATGAAGTCTCGAATATCGTTGTGGCGCTTAATACGACCAGACTTGGTGTATACGCACTGCTCCAATATGTGACCCAATGTCTCGGGTTGAGCCTTGCACTTACGGCACGTGACTGTTGGTCTTAGCAATTCTGTTCTGCGATACCTTGTCCGCCGCAACATTGGCTCTTAGCTTAAGTGCCGTAATATACCTGGACGGTTTCAACAGGTTAGGACGGTATAGCCATTCATTGCCTATTTTATCATATAACGAAATGATTACGCTTGATAAATCAACAGCTGAGTAAAGAACAATGGCCAATTTCGAGCATTAATGGATGTTAGAAATATATTTAATAATTATAATATACAATCGAGTTAGTTTACGTTTCGAGCCATACTTGGCCTTCTTCAGAACATTAAATCATAAATAATACCGCATTAACAATAAAAGACTCGGGTACGATCCGGCGCTACGATTTCCAATTAAATCTCACCCATGTCTGTAGACAATTAGTCATGTTGAAGTCAGAATATATCGTCGATTGTTAGTCAAATTACAGGCTGAAATAGCCGTTTCCTGTGTTGCAAGACTTATGTATGTCCATGAAACTGAAGCGATCGTCAGCCATTTGTCGCCCGACCAACTTAGTGGCAACTGTATCAAAATTAAAAGTCCGTAAGATTACGTGAATTTAATTATTAAGTTAGACTCATAAAAACGGACTCACATAAGCGGTCCATGCAACAGGAACGCAAGAGAATTCTTTCCATCGTCTATTAAGAGCGTGTGTTCGAAGCGAAAGGTTACAGACGACTGAGAAAAACATTCGCATCGCAAGGGCAGAGCTACCAATAGTCATTGTTATTACCAAAGACAACAATCTCAAAACATCAAAATAGGCCTCGTTTAATAGTTCCGTGTCCTTGTTTAAATTAATACCGTTTGGCTGCTCTTTGATATGTATCATTTCTGCAGTCAATCTTTTTTTATAATTATGCTCTACCTCCAGGATGCGCACATTATCCCAGTCAAAAGAATGATTATATTTAGTGATATGCTCTGAGACCACCGAATGTTTGGACAGATCTAATCTGATATTAGATTTATGTTCATTTATTCTGGTGCGTAGTTGTCTCTTAGTCTGACCGATGCTCAGACTCATGCAAAAAGAACGTTCCTTTTTGAATAATAGTTTCATCCGTTAACACGGCCTTGTATAATCTTGCATCGTTTTTACAGAAAATTTTAGCCGATAGTATACCGAAACCAAAAAGCCATGTAAATAATAGTTTCGAATTGTGCACTGACCAATCGAAGATAAGATTGCATCTGAGATTCTCGTTTCGTTGGACGTGGTATCATTATTCACTAACGTTCCTTCGGAGTTGGTCGTGGAGGGCATAGAGAAGAGGTGGAAATTTATAAAAACCAAGACGAGTTTATCTCGTGCGGAGTTTATCACTGCAATAAAATTTGTTCTGACTTCCACCTTTTTTACATTTAACAATGTCATCTACAAGCAGACATTTGGTTCTCCAATGGGCTCCCCTTTATCTCCGACAGTGGCTGACATTGTCATGGAGGATTTGGAGGAGAGGGTTTTGGGCGCGTTGGATATCCGACTGTCGTTTTATAAACGTTATGTAGATGATATTGTTATGAAGATTCCTGAGGATAGCGTGCAGGATGTCTTGAATCACTTTAATAATTATCATGACAGACTTAAATTCACAATAGAGTACGAAAATAACGGCAAACTTAGTTTTCTGGACTTAATGTTAATCGTTGAAAATGACACAATTATAACAGATTGGTTTCACAAGGAAACTTTTTCTGGGAGGCTATTGTCCTTTTATTCGAATCATCCTCTTCAACACAAAATACCATCTATAGTATGGTGGACAGAGCAATTATATTGTCTCATCCTAGTTTTTATAATAAAAACTTAATATTTGTCATTAACGTATTGCTTGGAAATGGGTATCCCATCGATTTAGTTTTCACGCATATTAATAAGAGACTGAGAAAGTTGCAATCTATTAAGAATAATGATATAGTTGATGATTTTGAATGTTCTCAACAGTTAAAAAGTTTTATTGTCATGCCATACTTAAAATATACTTCTGAAATTATCACCTCAGCTGTTAATAAATCAGAAAATTCTGTGGGATACCGCACTCTAAACAAACTTAGCAGCATCATTAAAGTCCAGAAAGATAAGAACGCTCATTTTACTAATAATAACGTAATATATAAAATCTGTTGCTAGAATTGTGATGCCTCTTGTGTCGGTCAGACTAAGAGACAACTACGCACCAGAATAAATGAACATAAATCTAATATCAGATTAGATCTGTCCAAACATTCGGTGGTCTCAGAGCATATCACTAAATATAATCATTCTTTTGACTGGGATAATGTGCGCATCCTGGAGGTAGAGCATAATTATAAAAAAAGATTGACTGCAGAAATGATACATATCAAAGAGCATCCAAACGGTATTAATTTAAACAAGGACACGGAACTATTAAACGAGGCCTATTTTGATGTTTTGAGATTGTTGTCTTTGGTAATAACAATGACTATTGGTAGCTCTGCCCTTGCGATGCGAATGTTTTTCTCAGTCGTCTGTAACCTTTCGCTTCAAACACACGCTCTTAATAGACGATGGAAAGAATTCTCTTGCGTTCCTGTTGCATGGACCGCTTATGTGAGTCCGTTTTTATGAGTCTAACTTAATAATTAAATTCACGTAATCTTACGGACTTTTA